TGCCGGGAGATTTTAGTGAATGGAGGTCTAAGCTCCATGGGACCAAGACGCATGCTATAAATGATGAGCTATTATCCATATCGGAGGAAAATTCTTCCCAGGATGATTCTGCAACTGTTCCCAAAAAAAGAAGCATTGAAAGGTTGGACTACAAAAAGTTGTACGATGTGAGTTTCCTGTCAGAGTGATTTTTTTACTGTAATCCTACTCCATCACATGCACTGTCATTCTTTGCATTTGTTTATTTCCGAACCACTGCTGTTCATGCATTATCATTTCATAATTGTTTGAGCAAGTAAAACCTCTTTTGGGACATCATCACTGCTTTTTTATTTTACCAGCTTTAATCTATGGTGTTTTTCTTTTATCTTGCCATGCATTAAGAAAGTTAACACTAGTTCTTTTGTTTTCATTAGCTCAGACAGAGGTTACATTGTTGAATAACTTATTGTGTTGGATTGAATTATCATTCCTGCTTATTGTAAGTTAATCAAACTAGTATGCCAGTGTTGCTTTGATATAGATGGTTTTGTATAGATTGTGAAGGTCTAGGGTTTTGTTTCTGAAAAATCTGTAAATGGGTTTCATCCATGCTTGATTAATTTTCTCCAAACTGGCAATATGTTATTTCCATTTTTTTTGTAGATTTTTCCTTTTTTGTTTTGACGAAAAACAGACTTGGCTGACCAATTGTTCTAAAAGTCTAGATTGATAGGACAAACCTATTTTAATCTTTTATATGTTTCAATATGCCTCCTCATGCACCAGCCTACTAGGCTGAAAGTGTTGATCAAGCATAGACTCATATCTGTATAGACTCGGGCTGGTCAAGATTTGGACTTCTGATATCTTGTTTTATGACTATGTAAATAATAAGTGACCAATTTTCTAGCTTAATTAGTTATGTACTTTAACAGTTTCCTTATATTCCCCCCTCACGTTCTCTGATATGGTTTAGGAGACATATGGAAATGTTCCATCATCTTCCAGTGATGATGAAAGTTGGAGTGATGCTGCTGCTCCAAGGCCGAAGAAAAATACTAGAGAGGTTGCTCCTATGACAAATGGAAATGCCACTGTTGTTGAGAGTAGTAAAAGCACTAAGTCTCACAAAAAGAACACCAATAAAGGTACCCCTAGTAGACGAGCTCGTCAGGAGTCAAAATTTGAGAAAGGAAATGATTCTTCAGTTCCATCACATGAAGGTTCTTCTGAATCTGCTTCTAATAAGCAGGGAAGGTCTTCAGCTTATAAAAGACTTGGAGAACCTGTAATTAAGGTAACATGGTGCAAATTATAGATTTACTTAAATAAGATGGAGGATGAGTTCAGTTTTTTTCTAAACTATATTGACATCAATGTCAGTATGGATTCAGCATAGTGCCAAAAGGTTTTTGGTTCTTTACTTTAAAAATGTTTTATGGGCCCATACTTTCACTTTTCAGTGTCGCTGATTGCATTTTCTTCTTCTTTAATGCCTTTTGGTATTTGTTGATTACAGTGCCTTTCAAGTTGTGTCTCAATATGCACGTATAGTTAGGTCTTACCCTCTGGAGCATTCATTTTCTCGTTAAAATAAAAAGTTTCTTCTCTGCATCATTTTCCAGTTTTGCTTAGTTGCTTTCCTTAATTATCATTTTTCAAGTCTGGTGCCACCAGAAACTGGGATGCTATTTTTTTGTGTCCATCAAGTTATCACAGCAGGATTTTTACTGATATGATAGTCTTTTGGGAACAAAATAGTGGGTTGAAACATCACTTAAACATTGATATGATACTTTCTGGAAAAAAAAAACGTTTATATGATCCCCCAAGTGTGAAATGCTTTTTCATTTAATCTATATTTTTCAAATTCTTTAGTTCACTGATTCAGAATAAGCCTTTGTATCATCATACAAAAGCAAGTGGTTTAGTGGTATTACCATATGGGAGAGATATATGGTGTAGGAAATTTTTACTTAAACCAGTTCAACTTCATTTGGTTAAATTTTTATTTTATTACTTTTTTTTGAGATGAGGTGGGGGTAAGACTTGAACTAGAGTTGGCTGCACAATGAGGATATCCATGTCATTCATCTGAGATACATTATCTTGACTCATTACTTGTTAATTACTACACTTAGGTTGTAGATTATTTTAGCACGTTGAATTACAATATGATCTTTACCTCTGAGTCACCTTTACTCCTTTGAATTTCTTTGGCTAATATTTCAATACTTCTAAATAGAAATTGAAAATCTCGTCTAAGATGATGGTGAAGATGACTCAAGAAATAAAAGTCAAGTTGTAGTTTTGTAGAAAACTAATATGAAAGTCAATGTAAGAATTATCTTGAAGGGAATAATGACCTGAACTAACAGGGATGGTGGGTCACATTTTTTTTAGAGATCTTTG